GCGAGAACTCCTTCTACCTCTTTCAAGGTACCTCTGCAACAACTGTGTTGCCAAGTTTAATCGGTTAGATAAAAGAAGCGGAAGTGAATTATGATAGAAGCCTTGAGATTGGTACGGTCAACTTCCCAGCATAGACACCTGATGGGATAAAAAGCCAGGAAAGGGAGGAAATACAATTATCGTGCCGAGCCATAGATGCATCCAGGGTACTAGTGGAGATTTATCAGAACCTAAGCCCTGAAGATTATCGAGGATGCTTCTTCACTTGAGGTACAGATATCAGCATATGTATTGAGAGCATCTCATTAAGCACAGCCTGAGTTTGCAACATGGCACCTAGATGAGTCTGATATCAATAGCATGGACATTAGCCTAAATACCAAGAGCATACACATAAGCCAAAATAGCAAATATAGACAGAATTAATATCGAGAGCAGAGACATTAGCCTTAACACCAAGAGCATAGAAATTAAGCTAAATAACATGGCCTGGATATCAAGATCAAAGACATTAGCCTCGATATCAAGACCATAGACATTAGCCTCGATATCAAGACCATAGACATTAGCCTCGATATCAAGACCATAGACATTAGCCTCGATATCAAGACCATAGACATTAGCCTCGATATCAAGATCATAGACATTAGCCTCGATATCAAGTCCATAGACATTAGCCTCGATATCAAGACCATAGACATTAGTCTCAATATCAACACCATAGACATTAGCCAGAATGGAAGACATTGGCCAAGTATCAACATCAGCCTCCATGTCAAGGGCATAGTTATATGTCCAGTGTTAATAATAACCTTGAAGCGTGGATATGATAACTTCCTCAGACTGATGGCTTCCTTGTCATGCTGTCATTGGTAAAGGATGGTCAGAAATATGATGGACATTAACATTGATTAACATTGGTAATGAACACACATAAAATGGGGGATGTGAAAAATAAACAAATCTGGTGATTTTCCAGACATGTAAGGGAAATATAATATACTCTACTTTGTCCAATAATTGTGCTATGATTGAAGAAGCCTTCGCATGATTAATTTTCTCATATATGTACGACAAAATGCATATGAACTGCATTTTAGAAGTTGGTGAGAAACAAAAAAAAGGCAAGATACTTTACGGATGACAAGTCCTACATTATATTAAAATGACAGGTTTTGGTATAGATCCCCATACTGTTGTCAAGCAAGAAACATTGCATCATACATAACAGAATAAAAAAACTTATAACCCATAGAGTATCTTGTATTTATGGACAAAAATTGGTATCTTTTACAAGCACTTTCCTGCATATCAGGTGAAGATGGAAAAAGTGTTGTGGACGTCTGACCAGATATGATGACATGTTGCTGGCAAATAGCATCACGTGTGACAACGATGTGGCACTCCATCACTTTGTCATCAATGTTACTGCATGTAGCAGATACACATGTGTATTGTACAAATATTCCTGAAGCCAGACATGATGATAAGGCCGACCACCAAGACAGGCAAGATTTCTGACGGACGGTCTAAATCTACTTAAGTTTCGTTTATAATTCTAGAATATTTATACATATGATTTGGGATGGGGAGCGGGAGGAACTCTTACCCGTGTGTGAAACTCTGGTGTGTTTTGAGTATCTCTTATTATCTAATTGCTCAACAGTAAAACAATATGGCAGAGACCTAGCAATCATGAAGAGTGAGTGAGTGAGTGGTGAGTGAGTGAGTTTGGGTTTACATTCAGTAATATTCCATATATGGCGTGGTCTGTAAATAAGTCGAGTCTCGACCAGACAATCCAGTGGTCAACAGCATGAGCATCTACATGGTGGGATCACGATGACATGTGTCAACCAAGTCAGCAAGCCTGACCACCCGACCCGTTAGTAGCCTTCTCATGAAGAACCAAATGCTAAAGGCACAGTATCTCGGAATTAAATCTGTTTACCTTTGTGATGTGATTGAGGCATGCAAGGTGAAATCTAGTGCGGGATGATCTTGTATCTAAGAAATACCCAGAACATCTTCAAGCGTAAGACAGGCGTGGCCTTTTCACTTCAATTGAACAGTTTGTTTAAAAAAAGGTGGTTATCTATATCCTCTTCGCATATTATACAAATGGAAACTTTTGAATTTGGAGATAAGTTCAAATTCATAAATAATTTTGTTGGTGTTCCACAAAGATCTGGCACCTTGGTCATCTAGTGTCCAAGTGACATTGTGGGGCTACAAGTTTCCCAACAGTAAAATGTTAGGCAGTAGGGGCACTTGACTGGCCCACATGAGGTGATGACAGCATGGAGATAGGACAGGGCTTAACAGGAGGGCCAATAAATATGCCTTTCACTTATAGCGTTATCTGATGGTTGTATGATGTGACTTCTAATTGGTAATGACCCCAGCACGTGTAGCCCCAATGCAGATGTTCTTAGTCTCTGAATCTCTGGTCTCCCTAGGGCTCCTTTTCAATATAAATGGGCTTGTTTGTTACTATCAAAATTAAATATATTCAGAGACTAAGCCTTAGTCTAGGTACCTCTGCAACAACTGTGTTGCCAAGTTTAATCGGTTAGATAAAAGAAGCGGAAGTGAATTATGATAGAAGCCTTGAGATTGGTACGGTCAACTTCCCAGCATAGACACCTGATGGGATAAAAAGCCAGGAAAGGGAGGAAATACAATTATCGTGCCGAGCCATAGATGCATCCAGGGTACTAGTGGAGATTTATCAGAACCTAAGCCCTGAAGATTATCGAGGATGCTTCTTCACTTGAGGTACAGATATCAGCATATGTATTGAGAGCATCTCATTAAGCACAGCCTGAGTTTGCAACATGGCACCTAGATGAGTCTGATATCAATAGCATGGACATTAGCCTAAATACCAAGAGCATACACATAAGCCAAAATAGCAAATATAGACAGAATTAATATCGAGAGCAGAGACATTAGCCTTAACACCAAGAGCATAGAAATTAAGCTAAATAACATGGCCTGGATATCAAGATCAAAGACATTAGCCTCGATATCAAGACCATAGACATTAGCCTCGATATCAAGACCATAGACATTAGCCTCGATATCAAGACCATAGACATTAGCCTCGATATCAAGACCATAGACATTAGCCTCGATATCAAGATCATAGACATTAGCCTCGATATCAAGTCCATAGACATTAGCCTCGATATCAAGACCATAGACATTAGTCTCAATATCAACACCATAGACATTAGCCAGAATGGAAGACATTGGCCAAGTATCAACATCAGCCTCCATGTCAAGGGCATAGTTATATGTCCAGTGTTAATAATAACCTTGAAGTGTGGATATGATAACTTCCTCAGACTGATGGCTTCCTTTGTCATGCTGTCATTGGTAAAGGATGGTCAGAAATATGATGGACATTAACATTGATTAACATTGGTAATGAACACACATAAAATGGGGGATGTGAAAAATAAACAAATCTGGTGATTTTCCAGACATGTAAGGGAAATATAATATACTCTACTTTGTCCAATAATTGTGCTATGATTGAAGAAGCCTTCGATGATTAATTTTCTCATATATATAATGCACAAAATGCATATGAACTGCATTTTAGAAGTTGGTGAGAAACAAAAAAAAGGCAAGATACTTTACGGATGACAAGTCCTACATTATATTAAAATGACAGGTTTTGGTATAGATCCCCATACTGTTGTCAAGCAAGAAACATTGCATCATACATAACAGAATAAAAAAACTTATAACCCATAGAGTATCTTGTATTTATGGACAAAAATTGGTATCTTTTACAAGCACTTTCCTGCATATCAGGTGAAGATGGAAAAAGTGTTGTGGACGTCTGACCAGATATGATGACATGTTGCTGGCAAATAGCATCACGTGTGACAACGATGTGGCACTCCATCACTTTGTCATCAATGTTACTGCATGTAGCAGATACACATGTGTATTGTACAAATATTCCTGAAGCCAGACATGATGATAAGGCCGACCGACCAAGACAGGCAAGATTTCTGACGGACGGTCTAAATCTACAGATGGACAGCCCAGTGGTATGGTAATTTTTTTTAGATGTTCCATACATCTGAGTAAATTCACATATCTTGGTGTCTGGTCTGGTTAAATCCATTTTGGGCTGGTAACATTTGGAAGTTACCTGCCATGATGTCTGGCTGGGGTTTGGGCTTATTTCATACACTCATGATGACCTTAACCAAGTTACAGTTTTCAGTTGTGGTCAGTGCCAGGTTGATTAGCAGAGCAATGGAAGCTAACAGGAAGCCCTTGGCCTCCAAGTGTTACTGAACACACTAAACTTTTGAAAATCCTTGAAGTAGGGCTAATGGCCTAATCTGGGCTGAGTGAGTGGTACACGGAGCCAAAACAAGGGATCCACAACAGTATCATACTACAGAAATGTATCATGCAGAGGAACAGTTTCAAGGGCAGATTCATTTGAGCAAAGTCGTCAGCTTGTCCGATATGAGGAGCCTGTGCTGTCAGCTGCCCACACAAACACTCAAACCATGTATACACACCCTTTAACTAAGTTCATGGTGAAATATGATTTGTTCTTCATATGCTCCTGAATCACCATGATTACTCAACATGTATGGGACACAATATAAGAAAAGAAAAATGGTGTAATCACAAAGATGCTCAGAAAATGATGAATATTCTCTCATAAAACCTTTTTTGCTAGAAAACTATTGCTAGTGCAGAGTAGAGAGTAGGCAGCCATCCTCCTACCAGCCACAATTCTCTATCATCCTGGTGCTATAGCTAGTCACACATTCCCTCCAACCTCTGGAGCACACAGGCCATGTGACTCGTAGCTTTACATGTGCTGTGGGCCACTCAAGGGAGACAACTGACCACTGAATGCCCTACTAGCTCGGCTTGAGTTGTTCAATGACTGCCGGACGCCTTGCTACATAGCTTCATAGATAACATGGAACTGCTGGATCAAGATACAATGCATGTGATGTCTGACCTTATGTTATAACTGTGAACACAACCAATGACTATACAGTAGTCACAAAATGTATGAATCAATCACAAACGGTGCATGTCTTTCACACTAGACAGAATCTTGGTGCCATAGGCAGCACACTACAGACACTATTACAGGGATGGCAACAGGAAAATCTATTTTCAGCTGGAAACTTAATATTGTGTCATCGAATGGGGGTTCTTGGGGGGAAGGGGGGAGGAGGGAGAAGGAAAGAAGGTGAATTGATCAATTTTAAATATAATCGGTGGAAATCTGTGGATCAGCGGAAAATTGCCATCCCTGCCATTACCTCACGCATTTTTCTAAAACGAAATGCTGGCTGTAAGTCAGAGTTAACATCTGTTTGTTGATGTTCCTTCAAAGAAAGTTGACCAATCCTGTGGCCTAATTTGAAACTGGATTGTTGTGATTATTATGAATACATTCACTCCAGAGGAGAAAGGCGAAATTTCACTTACAAAATAGAAAGGATCCAAAGCTTAACAATTTAGTGTTTGAAATTTGATTACAATTATTACAACTTCGAAGTAATTACCTTGTGAGACACAGAAATTTTCTTCAGAAAGGACTTTTCAAAAGTTAAACACAATATTTTGAGCAATATTAAACACAAAATAGAAGATGCAAGACACATTGATGATACTTGGAAGTAACTGCTTAAATGAGTGATCATTCCTTGTAGGTAACGTTGTTATTTCTTGTTCTAAGATTTGCTGTTCCATTCATTGTTGCTTTAGTTGGTTCTGACTCCGAATCCTCATCTGACATATCTGATTCAGACTCTGTGTCACTCCGAACATCTTTCTGCAGCTGGAAACAGAACAGCCAGTATGAGTACATGAAAGACCTAGAAGTTTGACCAAAGCTATATACCAATATGGCAGCAACCTGCAATGGCAGCCATATCTATTCACAACTGGTCCAGACAATCACGTGACTGTGAGCCAACACCCATGTACCGAGGCAAAACGACCCCAGTCACCATGTCGGACCACCTTTAGACTGACTCTTACCACCAGGATAGGTTGTGAGGGACCAATTCTTACCATTAATCCCAACGTAGATCACAATTTTGAGTAACTGACACAAGGCCTTCCAACATCGTACCTGTCTTCATAAGTCACATTCCTCACCCCTGAGGATTAATGACGTAAAACCAACATGTGGAAAAAATCATCGAAACCTGCAGCTGTTGAAACAGGAAAGAATACTTTCTAAATTCTAAGGTATCGAAATACACTACTTCTTGTGGGGCAATGGGGTAGCCTAGTGGTTAAAGCGTTTGCTCGCCGCACCCAAGACCTGGGTTCAATTCCCAACATGGGTACAATGTCACATTATGAGTGAAGCCCATTTCTGGTGTCCCCTGCCGTGATATTGCTGGAATATTGCTAAAGCAGCGTAAAATTCTACTCACTCACTCACACAAATCTCGAATTCATGCGTCAAGAAGGGTGAAAAAATCTGAACAGTTTTCAAAATCCACCTTGAAACAATCATCTTGCCTGGATGGTCTCTGTTTAATCACATTGTTGGGGGATACACACTGGAACTAGCCATCATTAGTTGGGTGCTAGACAAGCACAGGGTACTCGGGACCTAATCATGAACTGTAATCCCTGGAGACATGGAAACCCATTACCCCTTCACTAAGGCAGGAAACCTGAATCATTAACAGCATTTCATGTGATTCAGTGAGTGAGTTTAGTTTTATGTCGTAATCAGCAATATTCAAGCCATATGACGGCGGTCTGTAAGTAATCGAGTCTGAACAAGACAATCCAGTGATCAACAGCATGTGCATCGATCTACGCAATTGCGATATGATGACATGTGTCAACCAAGTCAGCGAGCCTGACACCCGATGATCAATTCTATCCCGGATCTTCACGTGTTTCATGTAATTCCACAGTAGAGATGGCAACGTTGTGCACTCACTTCTCCATGTGTGAACTTCTGAAGAGCTATCTTGAGGATGAGGTATGTCCAGATAGTATGGAGCATCAGGAGGCCACAAAGCAGGACCACGAACATCCTGTGAGAGCTGAATGGTGGCACATAATCAGGGAGCTCAAACATCACTGATTTTAAAACTCTGAAACATAAACAAATCTGTCTGACATACAACAAAATCCATCCAAAACACAGCTGCTGTATACAGACAATACCAACCACCAACAAAGAAATATAGCTCCTCTTGTGACGTCAGAATTAAAGTTATTCATGCAATCATGGACAAATTGAGTCACGCTATCCTATCAGGTATAACACAGGACCTTGGTAAAATGTCCAGGAGCCTGTTGTAACTGTATGGCCCAGTTATCACGTGATGAAGGAGTATGAATATTCTTAAAAAACGTTATAAACCTTCATTACCCTAATGATAAATTTGTCGAATTCTGATTGGTCAATAGCCAAAGCATACGAAACCATGTAGGCAGAATCGCCAGGGTGTGCGAACCATACACTCAGTCAAATCTGTCACGTGACACACTACACAGGTTGTACAAATGACCTTCACCTTAGATGGAATTTGGCTGCGAATAATCGCTGATCGCTTGGAAAGATTTGGCGTATACAGTTATGAGTTCATAACTGTATACGTCAAATCTTTCGAAAGAGTAATAAAATTGTTGCCATAATTTCTTATTTGTGTCAATAAAAATATCAAAAAATTAAAATATTTCTGTATTTCACTTGTCGTTTAAGAAAACCTCAAATTTGATTCTCTTTATCGTAAACCAAGCCATTCTGAGTTATCTCCCTTTAAGACTGTTCAGGAAAAGCCATGAGGCTGTGCCTCAGGAAATACAGAATTACAAGGGTCTTGCAGTCCTGTGCACCCTTTCAATACAGCGTGCAACTAACAGTATACATCTGGCCCAGGTATTGTGACCCACTGACAGCTGTAACTATTCATCTGCCATGGGCACAGCAAGGCAGTGAGAGTTAGTACAACGTACCTGAAGGGATAGATTACCATCCGAGTCACAATCCAGATGACACAGAAACATGTGAACAGCGCCTCACAAACACTCTGATGTTTGCTGTACTTAGCCATCTTTGCTGCCTGGAACAAAGCAAACTCCTGTATTTATCCTCCCAAATAAGTGCAGTTATACAAGTTCTACTGCAATCAGGGAGCAACAATACAAATGGCAGTCAAGGTATTCATTTTTTAGTCTATAATGTGAAGTAATATAAACTGCCCAAAATATTTTTCAAGGTAGTCATTTGGCGATCTTTGAAGTTTGATATAGGAAAACCAGAAATTAGATTTCATAACCAACAGTTTTAGTCACAAGAGCTTTGTGTACTTACAGCCATCCAGTAGTCAGACACGTCGTGAACTAAAATAATGAGAGCACCGATTCGGACGAAGTTGATGATCCAGGAGAAGTAGATGAGGGTAATTGTTATCAGGTGGTGTGTGGTCATCTCCCAGAAGTCCTGAAACCACATCAAATCATCATCTACATGCTTACAATGCAGTTAGAAATCCCAGTATGTGACAAACCTCAAATCTCTGTTACCATGGTAGTTGGTGCTCAATTATAGACTTATAGATGGTGGTCATATGGTTAAAAATAGCCTTTCATTTATTAGAGATGTAGTAATTGTTGAAGCCCTCAGTTTGTACGTTATTCCTAATGATATGAGGTGAAAATACTACACTAGTGCTGGCCAGACAAGATAGAACCCAACTTAGATGTTGGACCCGTATCTCATGGTCTTATAGATACTAGGAGTGAGTCAGTTTAGTTTTACGCTGCACTCAACAATATTCCAGCTATATGGCGGCGGTCTGTAAATAATTGAGTCTGGACCAGACAATCCAAGATCAACAGCATGAGCATTGTTCTGCGCAGTTGGGAACCGATGACATGTGTCAACCAAGTCAGCGAGCCTGACCACCCGACCCGTTAGTCACCTCTTACGACAAGCATGAGCTACTTAAGATCAATATTCTAACCCGGTCCTAGACAGGTTATAGATACTAGGAGCAAAGAAATTTCAAAATCAATTATTTGTCAATTTCATTGCTAGGTCCAGATCCCATTTTCAGAATTGAAAACCCCAGTGACTTGTGTCTAACTGTTAGTGAGTCCAGGTTACAGGGACTGGGAGTCCCAGGTAAAACCTGTAAAGTATAAGTTTTTTACCTTCCTCTTGACATCAGTCAGTGAAGAAAATAGCAGACTCCAGTAAAAGCCTAATTCAGCCAGATAAAAGCAGTACAGTGGAGTGTCAACATGCTGAAACAGAGCAGAGATTGCATGAGATGGTGTTCAACAGTTGTGTCAGCTTAATACTGTCAGATTAATGTCAGATGGAAACCCAAAGTTACCAAGTCAAAGAAACTTCAACCACTTGCTTGACAACAACATTAGAATCTATGTCGTAATGTCGCCTGTACAGAATAAAGAAGTTGTATACCCATAAAACTGTCCTCATTCTTCATTTGGTGAAGCCAAAAACCCATCATGGCACCAACAAACCAAGAATCATAAATGGCTTGCATTTGAGAACAGAACCCCTGTTGTTAAGCAGGGCAGGAATGCACACATGTTTATAAAATGGAGGGGTTCTGATCAACATGTTAATGTCACGAGTAATACACTGCCACTTTCAAATGTATGCATCGACAAAGTAGGGAGCAGAAATGCCAACCCCCAAATAGTAGTTTCAAGGATAAGTAGTTTGACCATAAAATTAGTAGTCAACTAAATACTTAAAATCATGATGGATTCTGAGAAACATTTCCAAAATATCAGCATTACATTTCTTCTTGTCATCTTTTTTTTTGGCGAATATGTATTTAATCAACGAAAATATATGTTTTTGTCTATATATCAGAGTTTTAATGAGTTTTCTTCAAATTTCGTAAAATGTCTAGTGCAATCGTATTGGCGTAGTTTGAGGCTAAAATTCATAGCGACTACGATAAAATGATAGAGGTTGGCATCTGTGAGGGAGTGCTCCCTTTAACAATCATCATAGGATCATACAGACAACATGATAATAGGCATTGTACTTTCATAACCGCAGCAATTACATGTTTACACATACAAACCATAAAAACAGAAATGGAAACCTAAAAACAATTTAATACCTGATTTGGCCAGCCGATATAGCAATATTTGGTGTCCCAGAACCAGTCTCTCTGAAACAAACATGTTCAATTGACAAGCAGGACACAACATACAAACATGAAGTACTGTGGAATGTGAACCTTGTTTCAAGGCCACATGTAGGCAGTATTCCAGCTCATTACAGCAGCCGGAACTTAAGTTGAAGACTGACAAATGTATCATTACGGTTATGAGTAGTGAGAGAGTGAGTTTAGTTTTACGCCACTTTTAGCAATATTCCAGCAATATCACAGCAGGGAACACCAGAAATGGGCTTCACACATTGTGCCCATATGGGGAATCGAACCCAGGTTTTCAGCATGACGAGCAAACGCTTTAACCGCTAGGCTACCAATCTGCCCACTATTATGAGGAACATGTGACGCTGTGTGGGCACTGATGGTAAACATGGTCAGAGAACATCAACAATGTCAACAGGTGCTTGATACCTAGACATCTGAACAGTTCATGGGTTTTCATAAAATCCAAGCAAAAAATATCATCTGTAAATATCCAGATCTTTGGTTCTAATGTGTGACTGGTAAGTGTAGCTACTGAGTGTACCTACCTCCCATAATATATACACTCCATATACAAAGGCTGAGAAGTAAAAGAGGAAGTGCCAGCTGAAAGAAACAGAAATAGCAATAATTAGCTGGCAGAAACAGTAGTAATTACAACACAGAAACATTGATAATTACAACAGAGAAACATTAATAATTACAACACAGAAACAGTAGTAATTACAACAGAGAAACAGTAGTAATTACAACAGAGAAACATTAATAATTACAACACAGAATTATTAATAATTACAACAGAGAAACATTAATAATTACAACAGAGAAACATTGATAATTACAACAGAGAAACATTAATAATTACAACACAGAGCATTAATAATTACAACACAGAAACATTAATAATTACAACACAGAAACATTGATAATTACAACAGAGAAACATTGATAATTACAACACAGACACATTAATAATTACAACACAGAAACATTGATAATTACAACAGAGAAACATTAATAATTACAACACAGAAACATTAATAATTACAACACAGAGCATTAATAATTACAACAAAGAAACATTAATAATTACAACACATAAACATTAATAATTACAACACAGAAACATTGATAATTACAACAGAGAAACATTGATAATTACAACAGAGAAACATTGATAATTACAACAGAGAAACATTAATAATTACAACAGAGAAACATCAATAATTACAACACAGAAACATTGATAATTACAACAGAGAAACATTAATAACTAGGATTGCAGTGTTTGAGATAGAATTACCAAGAAAGTAAATATTAGTTAATGTGAAATGTTGACGCCCTAATTTGGCGCTGATTCAATGCAGCTGACACAAACTGCAGAAAAACAAACAAGAACGCACAGCCAAGCACAGCAAATGACAGGCTGCTGGAGAGATAAGAACCTTCCAATTCCAGAACAATAACTCTTTTGACTGTAGACCTAAGAAGAATGGAGCTACGGCCTGTTAAAGAGGGAACTGTTTCCTTGGGCATTGGAAAGCCAGGAAGCGGTGAATGTTGCTATATTTTACTGGTGCTTCCTTCAGTTAGTTATCTCACAACTGACAAAATGCGAAAATCCTAATGTCCCGCCCTGTTTGTGGGGTAATTGTGGCGTAACTATTGACTTTTACATAATAATAATGTGAAGCAAAAATGTTTCACATTTCATTATCTACAGTTTGGTACCTTAAAAAATGAAATCCATTGTGTTTTCGCAGAGCTGTGAACCCTATAAAAATGCGTTTTGACAAAAATTGACCAACTTCCAAGGGCAATAACTCCGACACTATTCAAGATATCGACATGCCTTGAACAAACGAAGTAGTCCGGAGTGTGGGCTTTAAAACGATTATATATAGAACACTATTGTACTATTTGCCGTTCAGGAGAAAAAGATTGTTAAACACAGGCACTGTCAAAAAGGTGCAGAAATGTGCAAAATCGCTAAGGTTGTCTTTGTGTCGTAATGGTTGCGTAATTATTGATTTTTACATAACCATGATGTGAAGCAAAAATGTTTCCCATTCAATTACCTACAGGTTGGTACTTTGGGAAATGGAATCCATTGATTTTTCGCAGAGTTGTGACCTTTTCTTTAACCCTATGAAAATGCGTCTTAGAAAATTCACCGACTTCCAAGGGCGATAACTCCAAAACCATTCAAGATATCAACATGCCTTGAGCAAACTAAGTAGTCCAGAGTATCTGCTTTCCAACGGCGTATCGAAACACGATTGTACTATATGCCGTTCTGGAGAAGAAGATTTTCAAAGACAGGCACCGTCAAATCGTGAAAATCGTCAAAAATTTCAGTTTTTCAAAATGGCGGAAAATCTATTATGACGGCTAACTTCCGCTATGCGTTGAATCGATGGGGAATGATGTTGTCTACATTGAGTGAAAATTTGGTTTATTTATCTCTTATAATGTTTTAGTTATTCAGGTGTAAAGATTTTGACATTTTGGGTTCTCTGCCCTTACCGGAAGCCGGAAGTCGGGATTTTTTCGACTCTGTATCAATTTCAGCATACAGGCTATCATCCCTGAAAGTTTCATGAAAATTGACCAAGGGGTTAGGTCAGGAGAGCTGGTACAAAAAACGTATAAATAATAATAATAATTTGGATAATAACAGTAGGTCTTCCAGACTGTCGTCTGAAGACCTAATAACAAGACAGAACACTAATAACTACAACATAGAAACATTGATAATTACAACACAGAGCATTAATAACTACAGCACAGAAAGTTATAATTACAACACAGAACATTAATAATAACAAGACAGAACACTAATAACTACAACATAGAAACATTGATAATTACAACACAGAGCATTAATAACTACAGCACAGAAAGTTATAATTACAACACAGAAATAGTCATAATTATAACAAAGGAGTACTAATCATTACAACATAGAAATATTAATAATTACTACACAAACATTGTGACAATTACAACACAGGTACCGCAATAAGTACGTAACAGAAATACTAATCTACCCAGCCGGTTACCCAGCCACATCAAACTCAGCACGTAGTTCAGCGATGATAATTCATCATCTGTGATGCATCATGTACTAGTATACTGTTCATAGATTAGCTGTGTATCAGATACTGTTCAAGGCACGGTTCTTAAATATTTACAAACCCATATATTATTGCTCATCTTGGAAAATGATGTGACATGTTTGAATGAAAAATGGATTCCGGAAACTATCCAAGGCCTAAAGCTGGTGGATATATTGCTATAACTATATCAGTGGAACCAGCTTGCCACCTTCTGTAATGGTGCTGATGGTAATCAATCTGTCTAAATACAAGAAAAGGATATGGCTCACTGTTAAATGGCATCTGGCTGGGAGCAAAGGAATTTGGACAACAGATCAATGAAAACTTGCTTTCCTGGGTGTGCTTTTGGACAATAAAGGCACATGTGCACTTACTCTCATTTTATACTGTCGTACCTCAAAGCAATGAACTCTTCCATATTGTCAATATTGTCAAGTTTAAATGGGGAAAAAAAAAGTTAAATGGTAATTCAGACACATATGTCAGATATAGGACACCTATTCTGTTGAGTCAGCACAAATGTATCGGCCCGATGGACAACTATCAGGGACTTGGGGCATTCAAACAACGGCAGCCATGGGACACACAAAACTTTCACACGGAAAGCACTTCACCTGAATTCCCAGGTCTTATGTCATGACAAATATTTTAACATTTATCAAGGATTGTATCTGTGCATGCCAGAAATCAACTGTTGGATGAAAATTCCACTCCCTCGAAGGAAAGCTGACAACAATTCATATTAATGGTAGTGCAGCATGGTTAGCACCAACCTGAAGTATTAGCATGTTCTGTCATCATTTTTGAACCAACATAATTAAGATTTGACTTGGCTAACTTTGATGAACACTCTTCAAAAAAACGAAAAGCATAAACCATTTTTAGAAGAATTTATTGCGTTAGTTTAAGAGCAATTATTTCACGCAATTTCAATGGTAAAAAGGTGAAAATTTGCACATATTTAGACAAAGAGTTCGCCAACACAACATCAGCTTTTATTGTTGTGTTTCTGTTTACTGGAGTCCACAAGATGGAGTCAAAGTCAGTACTTTGTATGGCCAACATTGCCAGCAATTACTGCTCAAACCAGGGAATTGTTGAGCAGTCTCCATGGCTGTGGCAAGACCAGAGATGCCAACCCTAATTTAGCACAATTAGTATTTTGGCCAAAATCTTACGCAAAAAATATTACTTTTTGGCCAAAATTAGTATTAACTTTTCCAAAGGGTTTTCATATTTAATAAAAAGAACATAGATATTCTAAGAGCTTGTTATTAACAGTGTACTCGCCTAAATCAGTATTAAGTATCCACATATAGCTTGATAGTGAATAAAATATGGTTAAAATTTGTTTTGTATGGTACGTATGCTATTTCAAAATTTAACTTAATGTATTTTATTAAAAAATCATATATTTTTTCTGCTATCGTACTAGCGTATTTTGTGTTGTTTTTTCGCAACGAATACAATAAAATCATATGGGTTGGCATTTCTGCAAGATGGTGACGCAAGTGAGCAACCCGGATGTAGCGGTACTGGGCTTGGATGGTAACTCTTGGACGGACGCTTCTCGGGCGATCTTGGTCTGCAGGAAACGATCCCAAAGGCAAGATATGGTGCTCTGATGAACGTTGAAACGTCAGGCAACCACAAACTGCGACTCCCCAGCCTAAAGGCGGCCTATGGCGATGTTTCGATTGGTGGCACTCATTTGTGGCATGATGATTTCCTCTTTTCCAGGCAAAAACGAATGACAAAATTAAACACAACGTTGGCCTTTCCATCGAGATCGATACCGCATGCTTTCCCACTTACTTGCACTTGTATTTTGCTTTGCATATTTTCTTGGTAACATTTTGGTGAATATTTCTTCAAACACTTCTAAAACAAGGGAAAAATTCACAATTGCTCGTTTTGGCACTGAAGCTGTTTACAATCACATAAAGATGACGTTTTGGAAAGAAATAGAATATTTCTATTGCTTTTGGCGTTTCTGGGGTTTTTTTTAAAGAGGGCCTCTACGCTACATGACACAATACCCATCATGACTTCCTGACCATTACTAACTACAAGAACCCTCCAACTTGAAATTCGGTGATTAGCATATGACCCCTATCAAAATTTCAACCAATGGTGTCATAGATATCGTGTGAACCTTTCCGTAAAAGGAATACACTCATGAATATTAATGACTCCACGACCAAGTTTCGTGGCACAAGTACCGTTGTCGTTTGCTATTGTTTTACTGAATAGTATTAGCAGTAACTATTTCATGCATTTTGTATCAATAAGTGACCCTTAGATTGTATTTATGAGTACTTATTTCATCAGGGATCTGTGATTTCTTGTTGACGTTTCAAATGTTGTTAGAGTAACCTCCCTTGAACCGCAGATAATGTGGTTTCGCCTAAAATAGTTCATTATAAGCAAAGATTACTATACAGCAGGGTTTAACCTTGACTTACAGAAATCATGGTTTCTCATGCCCAGTCTTCTGTTGATTTTATTGCTTGAGTTGAAACCTATTGTGACATAACCCATGATAACGAAGTGCATCACAGACAATATTTTGTAGCATTATTTCAACAATAAATATCTCACATGATCAGCAAAACATACATTGCAACATTTTCCTACTGAAAAGATTGTAACATTACAGAATAACATCTGTAATGAACTAAAACTAGAGGTGAACAGTAATTACTCAGTTACAGTTATATTTCTTTTGTGAATAAACGTCATTAGTTCCTCAAGATTTACAACACTTGGGAAACACAATATGGAGCTTGTTTTGAATGAGTTTGATAGTTGCTAGTACCTGCATTCTCGGAACTTCTTCATGGATGACTGGCTGTCCATTAACCTTCTCTTGAAGAACCATCTTTCTACTTCTCGTATGCTCAACTCTGTCTTCTTTGATAAAATCTGGAACAGTGATGAGCACGTTAACAATTCAATGAAAAGCACCATACCAGTGAAATGGTTATACATAAAGCAATGACAGGTGTAAAGTTCGCTGTTTCACAAAGTCCAAGTCACTACTAACAATGATCAGTTAATAAAGCAATAATCTGACGCCACTTCTGCAGCATTCTGGTACAAATATCCATATCAGGTTGAAGAAATATTGTAAAAAGATTCTGGGAAAAAAGCACCAGTAACTTTTTTCGTTATTTTCTCCTACACTAAAACATGCAAGGTGGTGAATCTTTGCCTGGATAATTCTACAGACAGCCTCTCCAAAAAAGTAGTTTTCTACGTCAAATTTGATTTCCATGACACCTTTACACTTTGCCTTTGGTCCCCAATGTATTCAGATAATCTGATGAGCAATGGTGGCAGTAGTCGAGTGTGCTGTGGTTCCTAAGATAAGAATATTTGCTGCACCAACAATCTTACTTTGCTGACAACAATCAGTATGCTGTAACTGGAATTCAAGGTCACAGTTATACTACTTGTTTGAATAACTGGAACATACATGTTACTGCTATACCAATGCCCAATTTCAACATATTTTGAAAAATATGGTCGTTAAATAGCTGTGGCAGTAATGTTAATAATCGCAACAAAATTCTGTCAGCAATTATTAGCTTCAGTGTAACTGGTTCGTGTAATTTCAGAGAGAATGTAAAAAATTGCAGAAACATGAGAAACATGATTGTACATGAAATTCAAACGTCATTACTGGATCCTAAATATTTATAACACAAGAAATGTGTTATGTTATTCCGAAAAGTACATACTTTTCGGGACACAATAGCTGAGATCATCCATACCAACTTTCAGCCTCATAGGCCTCCTGGTTATAGGGATCTCAGGTGAGCTGTCAACGTGAATGTGTCAACAGGGGAACTAGCACTTTGGGGAAACAAGGACAACACCTTCAGTATTCCAGAATGTTAAATGCACAATAATTAACAACTACACATTGAGCAAAATTGAAAAGAAAATAGACATTGAGACTTGTGGCTACCAAAACAACCAAGGGGATATTCAGTGCTATTTATATAAATAGTGAGTGAGTGAGTATGGTTTCATGCTGCGTTTATTGATATTCCAGAAATATGACTGCACTGACACCTGAAATGGGCTTCAAACATTGTACATGATGGAAATTAACCCCCAGTCTTCGGCATGAAGAATGAAGGCAAGGCTACCCAACCAGCCAGCCAGTCAGTGACTGAAACAAGTTTAGTATGGCTTACCTCCCCTTAACCAGTGAATGTTACATCTGTTTTCAACTAGTCTTGTTTATTCATAACTGACTTTCAAAGCTACTGCATGTGTGACTGTAGCTGTAATACAATACAGAAACAGCTAACAGAGCAATTCCCATTGCAAAAGCAACAGTTCTGACACTATATTATTAATCAGTGGTCTGGTATGGAAGGATTTTCCAAACACTTAGGCAAGAATTATAATCTTGATGTAATACTGTGAAACAGAAGTCTAAATACTTCAGGTTGGGATGGCTCACAGTTCAAGCACATAACTAACCCCTTTCCTGCAATACATTGTATATTCTCATGCTCAGTGTGACAAACATCATCACCAATATGTGTATTTACTACTATTCCACATCAAATATTTTGCTTTTATCCCACAAGAACAAGATATGTTTTAATGGGTTAAAATAGGTAATAACTATGTAGATTATCATCTAGTAACTTTGAAACAAGATTTGTATGATCTGCTGATAGTTTTGATGGTTATGCTGTTTGATGGACAGTGAGTGAGTGAGTTTAGGTTTACACTGCTTGTAGCAATATTCCAGCAATATCACGGCAGGGGACACCACAAATGAGCTTCACACATTGTACACGTGGGGAATCGAACCCAGGTCTTCGTGGTGACGAGCTAAGGCTTTAACCACTGGCCTACCCCACTGCCCCGATGGAGTGAGTGAGTATGGTTTTACACCGCTTTTAGCAATATTCCAGCAATGGGGCGCGGTGGGCGAGCTGGCTAAGGTGCCAGGCTAGTGATCCAGTGAGGCTGAGGTGTCGAGATCGAGCCCACCCGTGACCGGGTGTAAAAACCTTGGAGTCAACTTTGTGTGCAGACTCTTTCAGTGTTGTCACAACCCCTAGTGTACAGTACACAACCCTGTGCACTTAAAAGAACCCACGAATCCGTTGGTATTTGACCAGATGGTGGCCACATGAATACGTGCAAACACCTAGTTGCGGGTACAGCAACGTGCAGTGAACATGGACAAAGTACTGTGACTATGTGTCCCAGTCCACCCAGCTGTGAATGGGTACCTCGTTAGGATGAGAAAGTCACAATAACTCGGTGCGCCTAGTGGCTGCAAGAGTTGTATACTCCCCAGGGAGTTGAGATTGATAATGCGATGTGCCGTTGAGATTGACATCCAATGATCGAGGGAAAAAATACCAGCGCCTTGAGCATGCACTAGTGCGTGGATATGTGCGCTATATAAATATCCTATAATATTACGTCAGGGGACACCAGAAATGGGCTTCACACATTGTACCCACGTGGGGAATCGAACCCAGGTCTTCACGGTGACGAGCTAGCGCTTTAACCACTGGGCTTCCCCACTGCCCGATGGACAGACAGAAAGATAGATAGAAGGATAAATGGATGACTTCATGGCACAGATGATAAAGCTTGATAGAAGTGACAAAGTGTGAGAACAATAGGAATCCAGGCCACAAAGTGTGCTGACCTCCTTCTGTCAGGCAGCAGTGTCAGAAACCAGGAGCAGATGGATCACAGGCTGAACGGCCAGCAGACCATCATCATCATCATCATCCTACTTCTACCTTATCAGGTCCCTGCTTTCTGGGCCAGGTCAAGTCATGTAGTTCAGGCAAGTGTAGCCAGTATCACCAAGCCCTACTATGAAGCCACCAAGCCTGAGATATCTGATGTATGTTCCCAATAAATATTTAGACGTCAAAACCATGAACTCACAACATCAATAGTTCACAGGATCCAAACTGGTGTCATGATGACCACATAACATTTGTCATGATCAGATGTGTACAAAACTTTGGCTATTGCCTACCAATTCATGACTGACCTGCCACATATATTTGACAGTTGTCCCATGAGATACTGCATACCTCTCTAGTAGGTGATTGTGTCCCTCCTGTGTGACCTGGCCCTCATGTGTGTGACTGTGTACCCCCTGTGTGTGACTGTGCCCCCTGTGTGTGACTGTCCCCCCTGTGTGACTGTATTCCCTCTGTGTGTGACTGCATCCCCCCTGTGTGTGACTGTGCCCCCCTGTGTGTGACAGTGTCCCCCCTGTGTGTGACAGTGTCCCCCTTGTGTGTTCCTGTGTTCCCCCTGTGTGACTGTCCCCCTGGGTGTGAGTAACTGTCCCCCCTGTGTGTGTGACTGTCCCCCTGTGAGTGGCTGTCCCCCCTGTGTGTGACTGTGTCCCCCTGTGTGTGGCTGTGTCCCCTGTGTGTGACTGTGTCCCCTGTGTGTGAGTGTCCCCTGTCTGTGGCTGTGTCCCCCTGTTTGTGACTGTGTCCCTCCTGTATGTGACTGTGTCCCTCCTGTGTGTGACTGTGTCCCCTGTGTGACTGTGTCCCCTGTGTGTGACTGTGTCCCCCTGTGTGTGACTGTGTCCCCCTGTGTGTGACTGTGTCCCCTGTGTGTGACTGTGTCCCCTGTGTGACTGTGTCCCCCCTGTGTGACTGTGTCCCCCTGTGTGTGACAGTGTTCCCCAGTATGACTGTGTTCCCCCCCCCCTGTGTGTGTGACTGTGTTTCCCCATGTGTGACTGTTCCCCCTGTGTTACTGTGTCCCTCCTGTGTGACTGTGTCCCCCCTGTGTGTGACAGTGTCCCCCTGTGTGTGACTGTGTCCCCCCGTGTGTGATTGTGTCCCCCCTGTGTGACTGTGTCCCTCCTGTGTGACTGTGTCCCCCCTGTGTGTGACTGTGTCCCTCCTGGTACTGACTGTGTCCCCCGTAAGTGAGCTCACAGCTACTATGATGATCATGGGTTGAACAGGCTTGACTTTGTCCTGTTTTGGCCCAGCATGGTCATGATTCACTGATGCACCGGCAATCGGCGGCAAGCTTTGCCTGATACCATACACGATACATTTGTTTTATTATGGAATCATATTTTGACATATATCAATTATCAATTTGATGTTGCTTAGGATAATACACTGTGCCAAATATGATTGAATAAGGCCAGAGCAAGGCAAAACAATGACTCGACCCCAGTTATAATGAGAGCCTGTATGGTTTGTACCGGCAGGACAGAGTACATTGGGTACAGAAGACAAGTCTAATTCTGAACGTCATAAACTTATCACTAGGGATATTGTAAACATGAGGAAAATATTTCATGATTATAGTTAATCTGCATTGTGACTTTCAAAGTCTTAATCATATGTTACAGTCTGTGGAGAATAAGCCAATGCATGTTAAGATTTCACTTAATTGGTTAAATGTGTGTCAATGAGTGAATTGAATAAAAACAGTGAAGTTATGAACTGAGATATTTTAAACAGTGAAATCTAAAATTGGGGCAAGCTAATTCAACTTAATGTTTTGATAAATGTAGCTCTTTCACACTGACAGTTGTTACAATTAGGCCTATTTGCACTTTGCTACATTCTTCACACAGGCCAACCTTCAGACAGCAGACACTTCACACAGGCCAACCTCCAGACAGCACATACTTCACACAGGCCAACCTCCAGACAGAGCATACTTCACACAGGCCAACCTCCAGACAGCACATACTTCACACAGGCCAACCTCCAGACAGCGCATACTTCACACAGGCCAACCTCCAGACAGCAACCTCCAGGACAGCACATACTTCACACAGGCCAACCTCCAGACAGCACATACTTCACACAGGCCAACCTCCAGACAGCTTCACACAGGCCAACCTCCAGACTTCTTCACAGGCCAACCTCCAGACAGCACATACTTCACACAGGCCAACCTCCAGACAGAACATACTTCACACAGGCCAACCTCCAGACAGCACATACTTCACACAGGCCAACCTCCAGACAGAACATACTTCACACAGGCCAACCTCCAGACAGCACATACTTCACACAGGCCAACCTCCACAGGCTTCACACAGGCCAACCTCCAGACAGCACATACTTCACACAGGCCAACCTCCAGACAGCGCATACTTCACACAGGCCAACCTCCAGACAGCACATACTTCACACAGGCCAACCTCCAGACAGCGCATACTTCACACAGGCCAACCTCCAGACAGCGATACTTCACACAGGCCAACCTCCAGACAGCACATACTTCACACAGGCCAACAGAGCATACTGCACACAGGCCAACCTCCAGACAGAACATACTTCACACAGGCCAACCTCCAGACAGCACATACTTCACACAGGCCAACCTCCAGACAGCGCATACTTCACACAGGCCAACCTCCAGACAGCACATACTTCACACAGGCCAATCTCCAGACAGCGCATACTTCACACAGGCCAATCTCCAGACAGCACATACTTCACACACAAGCCAATACTCCAGACAGACAGAACATACTTCACACAGGCCAATCTCCAGGCCAACTTCACACAGGCCAACCTCCAGACAGTGCATACTTCACACAGGCCAATCTCCAGACAGCGCATACTTCACACAGGCCAATCTCCAGACAGCATATACACACGGTATCTTCCCATAAGAGAGACCTCCCAAAAGCATAAGGCTTAATTAAGCTGTACCTTGATAATAATGATATGTGCCCAGATAAATAAGACAACATTAGGTATTAACATATGAGACCAAGCACCATATTATTTTACATCACATGTCAGATAAGAGCACAGATAACACTTATTAGAAAGTCACTTGAACATCAGATTTTCTCCTTTCACCTTGTTCTTGCCATACAGGTAGCCATCTAGAAGGGTGATTGGAAAAAAGTCATAGGAGAAAAGTCATGGGAAGAAAATCATTGGAAAAATACCTATTATAAAACATCCTGTTCTCCAGTTACATACTTTGTTTATACTGAATTTTATAAATACTATTTCACTTTCATCTTCAGTAATGAAAACATCCTGTTCTCCAGTTATATATATCAATATGCTGTATGTTCTCTGTGTCACTATACGTGATTTTTTAGAATAAAATTTCTGTTCTGTTCTGTTCAGTAAAAGGATTAGTAATATGTTTTGAGAAGGGCACAAGAGGTAGGACTGTGTCGTTACTATACTCCGTAGTGACTCTGGGTCAGCTCATTAATTAGATAGGGGTGGACAGCATGGCTCAGCTAATTAGTGTACTCACTGAATCTGTCTTTTGGGAGATCTGTCTTTTGGGAGATCTGTCTTTTTGGAGTGAACCATACACGTCATGTTGTTTCATGTTTTTACCTCGAGGGACTCTGGGCTAGACATACTGAAAGGTCACCTAATTGATACGCCTCTCAATAGGGTACTGCCTCTCTACATTTATAATGTCATTAATACCACCATAGCAAAACATCAGTCAGCAAATGTCACTTTCAGTTAATATCAACAAAGGGAACATCAGCAATAACTACAATCATGGACTTCAATACCAACTCTTGTTTGAAATCAGTAATATATTACGAAATATAAATAACAATAATTACAACAGAATACAAAACCCATACATTAGTGATGGGAAATCACTTGTTAAGGTTGACTGCAGTTCCACCTGTATCCTGTGTTGACTGACAACAGTTTCTACATGCATACTCACCTGTAGCTCTCCTTCTGAAGCTTTCCCCTTGTTGCTGTGGTACGCCTTCTCCAGGGCAGGGTTGGGTTGGACATATCTCTTTCGATCTTTAATTCCTAGGAATTTGGCAAAAGGAACTATCACCAGTCTGAAAAGGCAATAACACAGTGGTTAATTGGGTGACAAGAAGTGCTTCATACATTGTGAGTGAGTTTAGTTTTACACCGCACTCAGCAATATTCCAGCTATATGGTGGCAGTCTGTAAATAATCGAGTCTGGACCAGACAATCCAGTGATCAACAGCATGAGCATCGATCTACGCAAATGGAAACCGATGACATGTGTCAACCAAGTCGACGAGCCTGACCACCCAATCCCGTTAGTCGCCCCTTACGACTAGCATAGTCTAACCCAAATCTTCACGGGTCAAGTGCTTCATATGATGTCTTGTTGTCTGTACAAGAACAGCTTCAGTCTTTTGTCATTCGTTCAGTGTTTTGTACATGTTCAATGAAGTATGATTCATGACTTTGTGAAGTTTGCTGTTGGCAGTATACACAGTAAAATATAATTTTATAAAAGCTTTTATTTATCTTCCAGTTGTAATTATATTGAATGTTTGTGAACTACAGCCTTGAACTGCAGTGTTTCCCATCAGCCCCCACTGTACCATACACAGACTTTCCACACAGATACAAGGACGACAGGACCACGCGACACATATTGAGAACAATGAATATCATACCATAATGTCAACTGATGCCAGTAACACTTTGGTTATCATGATTATTAATGAAGCAAAACTGAATGAACCAACAGACAGCTACCACACCAGTCATCAATCAAGTAATGAAATGAATGGAGTGTGTGCTGATTGATGAAAAACATTCCAACATGGGACATGATCATGGGAATCTTCCACACTTTCCACTGCATTCATCAAGCTTATGATTACACAATTTGACAAGCAATTGTTTTTATGGCACCCATGTTTAAGATTCTGTGAGCAAATTTTACACAGTGGCTTTGATCACTCAAAGTTACAGCTCCATGAACCTTGGAAGTTTCAGATGGGATGTTGCGAAAACAATAGCCCAATGGGGGGCACACAAAGGTTGTATCGTGATAAAAGTTGAAAATAATAGAGATACAATATACCTCAAATGTTATACCTGGGATGCACAGCAGATGTTTAGTTAATTCACTTAATAGGGACAGTTAATCCAACCATGTTTATGAAGCTAGCTTGGATCATCCATACACAGATTCAGCTACTGTCCACAGGTGACTGGCGGCCAATGTTAGAGACAGACAAACAACGTACCACGACATAAACTCACTTGACTTAGTCATCAATTGTAGATTCGGTCTTGTCATTTGGCATAAATCATTGCATACTATTAATACATACTACTGTTCATAGATTCACGAGAGTCTAAACTAATGTATTTGTATTGGAAACGGATACAGTGTCCTCGTTACTGTTACAATCACGTACATGGTCATTATGACATTCAATCTGGAGCTTTCATCAAACAGTCAATAACACTGTTTACCAATGCAGACAATTAACTGTAACACTCCTGACTGCTAGGATTCCCAAACATGATTCAGGTTAACATTTGTGTGAAAATCTTTACAACAAATTATCTGTAGAGACATCAGGAACTTCATAATACTTCTGACATGGGAATTCTTCATATCTGTGGTGTTCATAATGGGGGCTGATAGCTGTTCAGATGTAGCAAACACCAGAGAGGCAATTTTCAGTCCAAAGTATGAAATGGACTGTTCAAGCTGAGTGATCTGACAACCTGCAGTTCTTGCATACTCAATATGCCCCTGAGTATTAATTTCACTTGAGATCTTTGAAGAACATCATAAGTTTCAAGAACAGTTTGACAGATCCTGTCCTGACAGTCTATTGTGAAGGACAGATCCTGCCCTGACAGTCTATTGTGAAGGACAATACATAAGGCCTTAACCATGTGTCTTGTGTCTTTTCAAAATCAATTTGTTCAGGCATTTGTTTTGCAGAAGCTTTCTGAGATTTTGAAAGAGGTGTTCTCACTTTTGGGAATATTTGATTAATTTTGTAATCTCCATTGTGACAGATTTCCCCTGCTTCTTGAAGTGCAAGGTTAAGGCATGGTACTTGAAATGCCCTGGACTCATCACTGTACTTGAAATGCCCTGGGTTCATCACTGTACTCGAAATGCCCTGGGTTCATCACTGTACTCGAAATGCCCTGGACTCATCACTGTACTTGAAATGCCCTGGACTCATCACTGTACTTGAAATGCCCTGGGTTCATCACTGTACTTGAAATGCCCTGGATTCATCACTGTACTTGAAATGCCCTGGGTTCATCACTGTACTCGAAATGTCCTGGACTCATCACTGTACTTGAAATGCCCTGGACTCATCACTGTACTTGAAATGCCCTGGATTCATCACTGTACTTGAAATGCCCTGGGTTCATCACTGTACTTGAAATGCCCTGGATTCATCACTGTACTTGAAATGCCCTGGGTTCATCACTGTACTTGAAATGCCCTGGGTTCATCTCTGTACTTGAAATGCCCTGGGTTCATCACTGTACTCGAAATGTCCTGGACTCATCACTGTACTTGAAATGCCCTGGACTCATCACTGTACTTGAAATGCCCTGGACTCATCACTGTACTTGAAATGCCCTGGACTCATCACTGTACTTGAAATGCCCTGGACTCATCACTGTACTTGAAATGCCCTGGATTCATCACTGTACTTGAAATGCCCTGGGTTCATCACTGTACTTGAAATGCCCTGGGTTCATCACTGTACTTGAAATGCCCTGGACTCATCACTGTACTTGAAATGCCCTGGGTTCATCACTGTACTTGAAATGCCCTGGGTTCATCACTGTACTTGAAATGCCCTGGGTTCATCACTGTACTTGAAATGCCCTGGACTCATCACTGTACTTGAAATGCCCTGGGTTCATCACTGTACTTGAAATGCCCTGGGTTCATCACTGTACTTGAAATGCCCTGGGTTCATCACTGTACTCGAAATGCCCTGGACTCATCACTGTACTTGAAATGTCCTGGGTTCATCACTGTACTTGAAATGCCCTGGACTCATCACTGTACTTGAAATACCCTGGACTCATCACTGTACTTGAAATGCCCTGGGTTCATCACGTTGTAGTCGGGCAACAACCATGGATGTGTCCAGTGAAGTTCCTGGTGCCATTATAACTTTGTCCTCAATAGTCTTAGAGAGGTAATCCTAAACGTGACAGTGTGGCTGAAGTAGTACAGGCATCTTTGTTTACTGTAAAATCATCATCTACCCACCTTATGCAAATTACCAGATGTTCCCTGTTTGACACATCCCTGACTTAATCAACTAAAATGGCAAAGCACCCTGCAGTCTTAATCCCAGCCAAGATCTTTAATCAAACACCTCTTCCCAACGGCTCATTAATTATGACTGGAGACATAATATAGTTCTTGTTGGATATCCATCCATCCATGTGTACATATTGTTGTATAATGTTGGAGACTCTTTTAATCTGTAGTTGTTGCACCTTGAGCATATCTGCTGACATGGAAAAGGCGCATGAAGAAATCTGCAATATATATATATAACATGACATGCTTGAAGTCATATTGGACATAAGTTGAGTTTGTACGGTGTCTTGTCCATATTGTTTGTACTTTTCAAGTACATCGTTATGAGACGCTTCTCAAGCTTTCTGAAGCTTTCAGAGGGCATGTTCCAACTGATAAATTCTTGAGATATGAATGCTGTTTCATGTTTGCCTGATGAAAACTGTTTGGTACTTTGGGTATAAACTGATTTGCAATAAAAACAGACTGTTCTTTTCTTTGTCGTAAACAAGCTCAACCAGGGAAACTGGGTATACCATGAAAAGTTTATGATCTTGCAATTGGCTTTCTCCCAGCCACTATGTTTTTTAATGTGCATTGGTGAACTGGAAATTTGGAGCAGTACAGCAAGTCTGACCAGTACATTGCACTGTGTCTGTCCACATCACCAACTACATCTGTAGCAGTGCCACTGTTGGATACATTGTCTTGTTAATCTGGTTGGTCTGTTTTGTCAACTGTGTCTGTAACAACATCTGTATGAACTGGACTGTCAGGTCATTTGCTTCACACGCTTTGTTTCTTCGCTGAATTGGAAAACACAAACTATGTTCTTTGTTTCTTCTCTTTGATAACTGTTTCAGTAACAGACTGCTTCTCTATGAGTGAGTATGGTTTTACGCCACTTTTAGCAATATTCCAGCTATATCACGGGAGGGGAAACCAGAAATGGGCTTCACATGCTAAGCAATCTCTTGTCAATCTAAACAGGCAACAACATGATTTGGGGACCAGTTACTGATGATGCCACTGGCAAAATGCATCCACATAATGCAGATAGGCTTAAAGTAATGCTCTGGATCAACATTGCTTGAGGACGTATCACCTAATTAAGGACAGATCTACTAAGAGTGACATTTTAAACTCAATGATAGTGAGTGAGTGTGTTAAGATTTACGCCACTTTTAGCAATATTCCAGCAATATCACAGCTAGAGACACCAGAAATGGGCTTCACACATTGCACTCATTTGGGGAATTGAACCCGGGCCTTCGGTGTGACGAAAAAACACTTTAACCATTAGGCTATCCCAACGCCCAAGGACAGATGTATTGTGCATGCCGAAGAATTATTCTGCATTGTTAGTAGTTTTCAAGACTCCCTTTACCGTATCCTTCCATCTTTCTCTTTTGAGTCAATGGAGGATGAAAGTATTTCAAGAGGGTTACTGTACCACTCATATGTGCACCAGAAACTCCCTCAAAGTCAGCATAATTCAGATACTTCTGTTCACCGAAGACAAGGTGTGCAAGTCCTTACATGGTTTGTGACGTAGCATGCCAAAAATTGCTACTGTCTCCATAACATCTATCTGGGTTCAGATGAAGTGGGGCATCACTTGGATACAATGATATGGAAACAGTGTCAACCTCTGCAGTATATTTATCTGGTAAATATGTAGAAAGTTATTTTTCTTCAAATCTAAATAAGTAACCACAGTCAAAACTGCATCCCAATCAGTTTGAGGGCTTTTAATAATCCTTTTATGG